AAAAAAAAAAAAAAAAAAATTACCTTAAGATCGTGTGAAGTGGAAGCCTTCGATAATGCAACATTTTTGGGGGAGGGGGTGAGGGTGGGGGGAGAAAAGACACCCAGATGGATGAAAATGCGGAGATTTGAACAATTACAGAAAATCTTGATAATATTGGATAAAAGCCGTTTACATTGTCGTTGGTTAACCAATTTTTGAAATATGCTGGACTACCAAAAGTGCCCTTACGTGTAAAGAGATTGGTTGACATTGAGATAGGGTTTTTTGGTCATGTACTCAAGACAAGTGAGAAAAAAATGAAGATTTATTTGAAAACTATTCGATTTATTATTATATTTATCTACAACATGTTGTCTATTTCTCTCTTTTAACTTTTTCCGTACTAGAAAATATGCGTTGATTTCACACCAAGAGATGAACTTCAACACGTGTTCACCATCATTTTCTTTGAAAGTATTGTTCGCACCACTCATAAATTATAATATTATAGTGTATTTTTGGGTTTAGGCAATTGCTTTCGAGGGTATATTGAAGCCTGACTTGTGACGGGTTATTTAATATCCATTAGAAAAGTTGGATAGTTTGACACATGAATCTTACTTTCAATGAGACTTCAGAATTATAATTTATACAAGAATAATGTTATGTAGCACTGGTCTTTTTAAACATTAGTCTAGGTGTCAGCATATTATATGTCTTATTAAATAGGCCATAGTTCCTTACATTTAATTGAATATGTAATTTAGTGTCAATAATGCTAACATTGTGTTAAACACAAGTGATGTTAAATAACATTACTCTTTATACAAAGATGGATTTGTTCAAAGTTCCAAAAGATCTAAAGAGAAAAAACATATACTGGTTTAAATGAAAGGGAAATCGCATCAAGATAAAAGAGGCAAAAACTTGGAAGCATAAGGCTAATCTTAATGTGCAGAGTGGCTCTGAATTGGTGGAAGATTTGGATGGAATACATATATTTGAAGTTCCTTCAAGAATCAAATTGTAAGCTAAAAGCTCAAATTATTCTGGTGTTTGCACATTGGATCCCTTTGACATATTGTCCTCAGACGAAAGCCTGTTCTCGATTTCAGATTGTCGAATTTCCTCAATCAATCTAACTACATCGTCCATATTTGGTCGCATATCTGGCACTTTTGCCACACAAGCAAGAGCAATCTGAAGCATTTGCACCAGCTCTTCTTCAATGTTTGGGTACCTTGTCAGCTCCTCGTCGAAAACTTCAGCTGTCCATTCCTCCCGAACAACGGATCTCACCCACCTAGGTAGATCAACAACATCATTGTAGCCTGAAGATTGGATGGGAGATTTGCCAGTGAGCATCTCAAGTAAGACTACTCCGAAGCTGTAGACATCAGATTTTTGAGTGACTTTTCGCGTCTCAATCACTTCTGGAGCTCGATAACCAGCACCTCGGTATTTCATAGGGTAATAATTCATCAGAGGGCTTAAGCCGAAATCAGAAACACGGCCATCAAGGTCTGGGTTGAGGAGAATGTTTGAGGACTTTATGTTTCCATGAGTGAATTTAGCACCACCTTCAGAATGGATATGGGCAATTCCCTTTGCTGTTCCAATTGAAATCTTCAGCCTCGAGTCCCAATCTAGTGGACTTCTCCCGGTGCCTCTGTTACCTATTGTGGTTCATCACACAGAATATATGTTAAGGGGAAATCTCTACTGGTGCAATAAATGTAAGCAAAGATTGGCCATTATACTTTTGCCCTGTAAGAAACAAGAACCTGGACACGCAGGAAATTGGTTTCTGATTGATAATGGAGATCATAACTAAAGGAAAATATCATGTGTTAAATCTAATCCCAAACCCGAGGGAAATAATGAAAAAACATAAACAAAATGCGCGTGCGGAAACACAGACATTTATAGTTGTTCCCTCTTGATGTGAAAGCTAAGTCTACTCGACAATGCAGATTTTTCACAAAAATCGAGAAGAAGTTTACGAGGAAGATCTCAAAGATCTATATATTTATCTCTCACGCTACACAAATATTGCCTCCTCAAACTCCTTTTACGTAGAGTAGGATCAATGGCGTTCCATAGAAAAGGGAATAGTTAACACTATAACTAAGCTCTACACAATTCAATATACCAAGGAAAAACAAGAGGAAATCATACCGTGCAAGGCTGCAGACAAACTGCAGGCAGGCTGGTATTCCCATACAAGAAGCTTTTCATCTTTGGAATAATAATAAGCAAGAAGTGGCACAATGTTAGGGTGTCGACCAATTCTATCCACGATCTCCATATGCTGTTCAAATTCCTTCTTTCCAACCTCAACTTCCCTTAGACGTTTCACCACTACTATAGTTGCCTCGTCTAGAATAGCTTTGTAAGCTGTACCATAACTACCCTTCCCAAGTACTTCGGCTGATGCCCTTAACAAATCTTCGAGATCAAAGCTATAAGAGCACCCTTCAAAGAATACGAGCTTGTTCTTTTCGGCTCCTTGTACTCCACTTCCAAAATCCTCAGACTTTAAATTTTCGTTCTTTCCGCCACTAGAGGCCTTAGCTTTTGTCACACTAATGCCCCTACCTTTCTTCTTCCGACAGAAGAAGAACATCACCGAAACTAGAAGAAGCAATATTAAACAGCCACCAATCACAATGGCAATGATAACTCCTGAAGTAAGTTTGTTCGAGTGAGAAGCATTATGTCTTCCAGAAGTTGTAGGAGAAAAATTGTAAATCGAAGGGGAATGGGATGGAGATATTGTAGAGCAAGAAGTTAGTGGTGAACCACATAAATGAAAGTTTCCTAAGAATGAAGAAATCGGAAACTTCTGTAGGGAATATGGAATTGAGCCATTTAGCAAGTTATGGCTCAAATTCAAACTCTTCAGCCTTGGGAGGTCAAGATTGGGGACTTCTCCAGAGAATGAATTAAACTGGAGATTTAAAGTAGATAATCTCCTCAAGTTCTTAACTGTGGAAGGAATCACCCCGGTAAAAGAGTTGAAGGATAGATCAACTACACTAAGTCGAGGAGAGAGGGAAGGAGGGACATCACCAGAGAAGTTATTGTGTTGAAGGTAGATGGATTGGAGGGAAGGAATGGATAGGATATCAGAAGGAAGACCTCCAATGAGATGGTTGGATCGAAGGCTAAGGACCCTAAGATCATCGAGTTTTCCAATTGTTTTGGCCGGGAATGATCCATAGAGCCCAATGCCGGGAAGATGGATTTCGTGCACTCTAGTTCCATTCATGTTGCAAATTATGCCAACCCAAGAAGAGCATATAGAAATGTCAGTATTCCAGTTGAGCTTTCGGAGATGTGGGACAGCATCAGCAAAATCAAGTAGAGCCCTCCTGTCTGAATCGAGATCAGCAATAATCTGTTGAAAATTCGGTAATAACAGAAAGAGATCTGCAACGGCTGCCACTAGAAACAGGAGTTTCATTTGGTCAAATGTTGCAGATAACACAAGTAGTTGAATTTGATCCCAGAAAGCTTTCTCAATTCTTGTTCTATCCTGGAGAAGAAACAGATAATATGATAAAACTAACCACTTCAATAATTGTAGCTGATTTTATCTTGAAAGAAGCATCTATTAAGGACTATAAAGTATACTAGAGAA